GATGTAATAGGCGTCTCAATACCGGCCTTCGCGAAACGTGATTTTGAAAACACTATCCAATGCAATATGGCAGAAAGCGCACTAGGCGTTCGTGTTGGTGTATTTAGAAAACATCCCAACCTTAAAGACACTAAAATTCACCGTGGCAGGGATAAAAGCGTCAGTTGACTTGTTTGGAACATTTCAGCAGGTGCTTGCTACTAAACTATTCTCCTCAATTATTTAAGAGTGACCGGACATGATTACATCATTCTAAAATTGCCATGGTAACTGTCTTAGTCTTAGTTAAGATTTGGCTAAGACAGTTTCATGATCCAGTCTTATCTAAAATCTAAGCTAAGCAAAAAAATTCAGACTTAAGATTTTTTTGTGCTAAGCAAATTTTAGACTTAAGATTTTTTCATGATCCCGGGGCCTGGTGTCCACCGTTGTCAGAATGCTCGAGTATCGTTAAGTTCGGCGTAAAACAATACCCATGAACTCACTCGCTATTTCTTCAAATTGTTATCCGATCTAACAAAGTCTACTTTGACACGTAATTCCATGATTTACAGAACTGATATTGGTACATGTTGTATTGTCTGGGCTTTTTGGGGCGCGCGGGTGGGGGGAGGGCTGATGATCTGTATCTAAACTTATATTACACCAGATGTGCAATCGTAACAATTGTCTCTCTGCTGTATTTATAGCCAAGTGTGACTTTTGCTTGAGACAACATATATCACTATCTATGGAGTAGTACCCTCCAAATAAACACTTTATTTTTTAAATATACCACGTTGATATGTAATGATTAATATGACATTTCAATCAACCTGCTAACCTGTGACTATATATATATGCATATATTGTGGGTCGCACTTGTTGCATTTAGGGTGACATGAAAGAAATACGTAATACTATTTAAACATTCAAACTTACTTACAGCATAAAAACACAATTGATCCATAAATCCACATGTTTCAGCGTTGACATGTCATTTGGCAGGTCACCTATAATATATGAAATGTATTTATTATCGAAACACACAACTGACATATACTTCACACGATTAGCCTGGGTTGTATGAGATGGATAAGTTTGCATTTGTCGAGGACATATACTGTCGTTGAAAAAAGGGACTGACGGATAATCTGCTTTGTTTTTCAGGGTGGATTCTCCATTGGCAATGAAGGTCAATGTCATCATGTATGAAGGAATCCGGTGATGCGCGTGTTGTGGCTGAATATGTAAATATACATGATGAAATAGGCGACTCAGGAACGGTCTTCGCGATACATGATTTTGTATCTAACTATCCAATATGGCGGAACACTTCCGCGTTCGTGTTCGGGCTTAGCTCAAACACCCCAACAGGCTAGTTTTATTGTAGACGTTTGAGAAGTATCATAAGTCATAAAATTGCCGGTTTGGTCGGTTTAAAAATGAAAACGGATAGTGCAAAGCTGCTTACCAATGTTTCACTGCAACAAAGCCAGTTTCAATTTCAGGTCAGTAGCGTCCCCGTTGATTGTGGTAATATCACGTGATTCAAGCCTGTCCTGTCCTTGAGCGTTACACCCGGCTCAGTGCAGCTAATGTATTTATAACCCGCCTTGCGACTGACGGGTAGTTCAGTGTGTAACATAACAATAAACACTCGCTTCACCATAGGTTTGTTTGTCGGTGTTAGTATGCCGAAGACATTTGCAAATTTCATTGAAAATGATATGTCGAAAACCTCATAGCGCGGGATCAGATTGCAAATAGGGCGGCCACTCAACCTTTATTCTTCTCTCCTGCTGCGTCACTGCAGTTTGCCGTTGTTAAAACTATGAAGTTGCTATCAAATTTCTAACAGTATTCTTAATGAAATGTTTGAGTATATTTTCGTTTCCCCGTCCCAGGTATCTCGCCCATGAATACTACTTAAAAGCTGGAGAATATATCTGTTATGCCATTAAACGAGGGCGCACTATCTTTTCTGGATAGAAATGACAACAGGCGGCACCACGTAAAGTCAGTGCTTGCAGTACTATGAGTGCTGTATGCACATGCTCATAGAGTGGCTTACTGCGCCATGAAGAAATGACAAGTAGAGACTTACTTCGAACAGTCCCTATTACATCATCATCAACAAACATGATACTGTCCCCTTTTTTGATAAAACGAATAAAATTGTCTACATCATTATGAGTTACAGATTAAGATGGCAATGCAGCATAGAGGGTTAGGGTGATCCTGGCACAGTCAGGCTGGTAAGGCTCATCATCAGCTCAGGGCCTTCGCCCCCTCTACACACAGCCCAGACAGCGAATGGGACTTCGTCTACACCAAGCTTCATAGTATATGGAGAATTAGGCAGATTACATATTGAAATATATATATATGTAAGAATGATAAAATACTGGCATCAGCTTGCAACTGTTAGTACTCCACTAAAGCTATCACAACAAATATATCGTTCCATGAGATACCAATACTACTATAACGGCACTGTTCTACCTTGGTTTAAGCATGTCAAGCAAATTCTCGATACCTCAGGATGAAAATGTACTTAAAGATCAGTTTTTACAAACGTGGCAAAAATGACATCAGAAGCAGGTCCAACGGGTTTAATTATCGTGTCTTGAAATATTTCCATCATTTGAAAAAAACGTCTTATTGCCAAAAGAAATATCTTATCCCTTACTGTTATTTAGAACAAGCAATCGTCATCTCCCAGTTGAAACTGGCCGTTGGAAAACCATCCCGCAGAATGATAGAACCTGCCATCTCTGTAACTCACCTTCAACAGCTGATGAATTCCATTATCTATTTAGATGTTCTGCCTTCACTCAAATTGGAACTCATTATTTGGAACCTTATTATTGTACATTCGCTAATTTGCATAAGATGATATCATTGATCGCATCCAACAAAATTGTCTATTATTAAGAATTTCTCAAAGTTTATATCTATTATCAATAACCGTGTAAAAGCTACTCAGAAATTGTAAATTATGCAACGACCTTCCAACAATGTAATGAAATCTATGTTCAATATATATCCAATGCTCTTGTACATCCGTGGGTGGTTGAAAAGAGAATAAAGACTGATTGACTGATTGGGACTTTTCCCAGGAAACGCTGCCTAGTCGAATCCAGCAAGAATTTTCCGGAGAATACACTGCAGCCTTCTGTATTACCCAGAGTGTCAGAAGGGCTGTGCTCCCGGTGGAGAACCCGGGCACTCTCCTGATCTGCACCAAGAGATCATGAGGTACCAAACCAAGGGCGCTTAGAAGAATGGAGTCGGTGTACTTGGGATGCAAGCGAGACATTTCAAAGGCGAGGTCGCATATTTAGAATGCTTTTCTTGCAAATGTGGATGTAAATAGATTGCTCATTTAAAGTTACAACTTCACTTAACTTTGTTCAGTATGGACATGCAGTTACACATGTTTCGTCGATGTCAAAAATGTTTTGTCAAATTGATTTAATGTTCTACTTTGCTATTATAATCACATTTATACATATTATGTTCTCATGTGTTCTGGGCCATAAGTGAGTGATTGAGTTTACTTTTGCGCCGCACTCCTCAATACTCCAGCTAACAACTTCACGTTGTCACAAGGTTATGCTTGCGTCCGTACAACGTTATTCAGCGGACTCCCATTTACGTTGTCACAACGTTGTGACGTGACGTTGCACAGTGCCGTCATATTAACGTTGTCAGTAAGAATGGAAATTACTTTACTGTGACTTCATTATATTTGTGGGATGATAATCACAAAGTGTAATATAATAGGTAAATAATCTACTACGTTTTCTGGAGAAATTACGAATAATTCGATTTCACTCTTGTTCTTACGATTTTTCCTGAAGGAGAAATAACGTTATAAACATATTGCGTCATGACGTTACCAACCTACAACCTTCTCACAACGTTCTGGAAACGTTGTGTCTTAGCTTGGTATGTGGTGGTGGTCTGTAAATATTCGAGTCTGGACCAGATAATCCATTGATCAACAACATGAGCATCGATCTACGAAATTGGGATACTATAACATGTGTCAACCAAGTCAGCAAGCCTAAAAAACCCGATCCCGTTAGTAACCTGTTAAGACCAGAATGGATTACTGAACATCAATTCTGACCCGGATCTTCACAGGTGTGGGCCATAAAAAGAGTTTTCTAAACACTGAGGACGACAAATATCAGCACAACACCATATTGCATGCTGTATAATTGCGAAGAGAATGAGATTCCGATGAGCATTTCCAGATCACTCAATTCCACACGTGTGTTTGTATGTACGATGTATGTACGTGTATATGTCTGTATGACATTGTGTTTAAGTATATGCGTATAAACATGTTTATATTGTATATTTATAATATAATTAAATACAAAAATGAATGCCAGTTGGTAGCATACTCAAAACGAAAGCGCTAAAGAGCCAGAAGTAATAACGGTGCAGTGGTGACAATTTACAGTTTTATTTTCGCCGGGTGATTTAGTTAACAGGAGGAACTCAGAAGTGTCATGATCACAAACAAATGCATAATGTCGACAAAACCCTAACACATCGGCGCGAACTATCCGGAAAACACGAGTAGTAAACTAATTGCCAAACCAATATGTGAGATTTAGGTATTAAAATGAAGTATTAAGCATACACCCCCTAACTGAAGCACCTTTACAGCCAGATATGTACAATTCATAGGGCGCCACAGATCACAATGAATGCAAGAGAAATTTCTATGCTGAACTAATCCCATTGTTGCAGGAAACCAAAGTTACCTAACACGTTTAACGATGAACGAGCTAGGAAAAACATAGGCGATAACATAGTAAAATCCAAGCATTCAATGCAAGAGAAGAAAATTGACAAACTATAAACATGAAGGCAACTGAAAGCACCACAAAGGACGGTAGTTCAACGGCCGATCACCGATTTCTGCAAACTAGGTTAAAGCCTCGCGTACTTTCAAAGTGATCTATCGGTATTTGAGTAATTAAGCATCTTCTATTGCTACTCTATGTGTTGTCTTCAGTCGGTGATATATACGTGGCCACAGTTCTCGGATCATCAACAAATACATCCCACATTAAGGGAGTGTATGACAGGTAACCACTCGCTGAACCAGGTGATGTGTCACCACCATTGTTGTCTTCTGTACCCGGTGCACTTGGAAAGTAATCCGCCAACACAGGTAGTACAGGGTTACTGTCATCATCTTCATTTAAATGTGGACCAGGAAAGTAGTCGGCCAACGCAGGAAGTGCAGGATCACTGTTGCCTTCTTCCTCTGCGCGTCCTTGCTGTTGTCTTTGCTGTTGAGATACCTCTTCCTCTGACAGTCCTTGTTGTTGTCTTTGATGTTGAGATACCTCTTCCTCTGACAGTCCTTGCTGTTGTCTTTGCTGTTGAGATACCTCTTCCTCTGACAGTCCTTGCTGTTGTCTTTGATGTTGAAATACCTCTTCCCCTGACAGTCCTTGTTGTTGTCTTTGATGTTGAGATGCCTCTTCCTCTGACGGTCCTTGTTGTTGTCTTTGTTGTTGAGATACCTCTTCCTCTGACGGTCCTTGTTGTTGTCTTTGCTGTTGAGATACTTCCTCGTAATCTTCTTCCTCTACCGGTCCTTGCTGCTGCCCTTGCCGCTGAGATACTTCATCATAATCATCTATATCCCAGTACCGATGCACCTGGCAGTACTCCCCTGTTTCCAGTTGCCCTGATCTCTCTGTAAGTATCGACTCATCTCTTTGGTGATTCCTGAAAATATACACATGAGTACTGATAGTACTGCAACAGGTTACCACTGATAATTAGTAAACTAGTATCATACAGGTTGTTTATAAATAGTGTTTACATTCAGAAGTTAATATTTTTTGGAAAATGTGGCATTCCATACGTTTTAATGTATAATTCATACACGTTTTGAACTTCAGTGCAGGAGTATGCAATATAAAGAATCCATTAAGAAGGGCTTCTAGAATCAATGTACAAATTAAATAATGAACTAATGATGCAGCATGGCTTTGTTGCTGTTAAAACTGTTGAAATATTGATCATGGAAATCAAATCTCTGAAGGGCATTGAAAAAGTCAAAGTCGTTACATATAATCTTATCTAATCAAATATTAGCTTAAGTTATGTTTGACATATGTGAAACACGTCAACTGGGTGTATATGCTGACCTCTTTGCGGCAACTCTCTTAAAGTGAAAGATGCACACTGTTACAATGATTCCAAAAACCAACACCAACAGCGCAGTCATTGTTCCGATAGTTCCTGCATTCAATGCACTCTGGGCAGAATCTGAAAAGGGTAGTTAAAAAAAACAGTTGTCAACACATGCATGTCTTTTTAACCGATTCTGTGTCTGTATGTTTCGTAAGTGGAAATTAATTCACAATTCAGAGTACGTAACTGTGCCTGGTTGCACAGATGTTAATTTTGAGTTGCAAGAACGAATGCAAAGTCTGAAATAAAATGAATATTTGACTGTGTTTCAAATTCCAAATGTGTCTTCTTTCATGGTTAAAGAGTTCGCTCGTCACGACGAGGGCCCTCGTTCGATTCCCTGCATGGGTTCAATATCTGAAGCCAATTTCTGCTGTCCACCACCGTGATGTTGCTGAATATACTTTCAGTAAACAAGGAAAATTGTCCCCGGTTCATTCAAGTGATTATGTCTAATTATTGAGAATTCAAGTGAACAACGTATTTATCTTACCGAACACCTCATCGTTACTTTGTAATTGTTTGAAGCACGAGTACAATATGTTTTATGGTCATCGCTAGATTTTGCTGACAAGAAAAACAGATTTGAGTTATTTCCCTTCATATTCGCAAAACATCGGTATGTTATGTACATCATACCTGATTCAATGTTATTCGAGATAAAGAATTTACCACGAAGTACCAAATAAGTTCGGCATTCCCAGCAGGGTACATAGAAATGTTACTCGCTTGTAAGTGGGGTACATTGGAAATAATAGGAGAGCGCTCAACCAATAAGAAAGCGACATATATGTGATAATCATGAGAATGACGTTACTACACATTTGTGTATAACGAAATTGCTAAGCTATGACGTCACAATACAAAGGGCACGGAGCTGTGCATAGAGAGTGCGTCTAAAGTACAATTTGTGGTCATTAATATACAAGCAGTGGAATATCTAATTGATTTCATTGTGTACAGATATACAAAGTCGGATTTTACTTTATACAATTAAGTTAAGGTCTGAGCAGTTTGATGAAGTAATTTCATTTTATGAAACAATAACCCAGTTCACACTAACATGAAGCGTCAACGCCAGAGGATGACAAATGTACGGACATATATCCTTCTGGAACAAAAAGAACACTAACAGCCGTGGAAACAACCACTGGTGACACCAGACGATTCCTCGCCGTACCCTACTGTTAGCACTAATGACGATTTGCATTCAAAGAAAAAATAACATCACATATAGAAATGCATCGTGCTTACCACATATCCCAGAACTCTGATGGCAGACACCTCCCGGGCAGTGTGTGCAGGATAGTTGACAGGATTGTCCATATTGTCCTTGGATACATCCGTTGTCACAAGACCCGTTCTTTGGGTAACATGTGTGATTGAAACAGGTCCTCGGACAAGGCTTACAGTCGTCTCCATAGTAACCAGACAGGCATCCTTCAACACAGGCACCCGTCTCATTGCAACCCAAACAGTTTGGGCTACACTTTATCGGTAAGGAACAGTGTGGACCAGACCAGTCATCTGCACAACCATTGATACACTCGCCACTATATCTTTGACATTCAGATATGCAGGAGGGGGAACTGTTGTTTGTCAAAGTGTCATTAGTAACAGCGGTAGGATTAGACAAACAATCTGTGTGGCATCTTAAAGAGCATGTACGTCCATACAACCCAGGTGCGCATGTTTGTACACAATCAGTTGTTGAACAATGTTCACATGAGTATTCACAGTCCAGGCCATGATAAGGATCATGACACACGTCACATCTGCCTGTTATCCTGTTACAATGTCGACATCTGGGTGAACAATTCTTGCAGTTGGACCCATAGTATTGGCCATGGCATCCAGAAACACAAGATGTTGTCAGATCGCAGAATGTTCCAACACATTCTTGAGGACATGTTGTGCACCTATTCTTCGGAAGTATGCACGGGGCATTGCATCGGGTACCATAGAAACCAGGTACACAACCGTCAGAACAACTGTAAGTGCCACGCAGTGTCGGACTACATTTCCTGTTTATGCATTGGTTGCTACAACGGGACGTGCATCTGAGGCCGAAATACCCCGAAAAGCAATCTGTAGTGCAGTATTGTGTTGAGCTTGAGCAGTTTGAGCACTGTTGGTCCTCCCTGCACTTATCCACTGTAAAAGAAGATTTAATAATTTCGTATACTTTTGAATACAATTTTAGATAAATGTTCATATTACTGTTTTATGCCCCAGCAGTGCACTCAAAATGAACTCAAATCAACAAATTAACTAAATTAACAGAACACGCGAGGCCGAAAATATGTTAACACTATTAAAAAGACTTGTGTTCACTAGAAACACGGAATGTCATTTCCGACAAATGTTATAAAAAAATGTCTTTAACTGAAGCAAAATACCCAATGAATATAAAGTTACCTTGTGTTGACACAAGCGTCAGTGCTGCAATCAGTATCACCTGAATGTCCATAGCTGTCCTGAAACCATCATAACACAGCATTTAATTAAAGTACTGTGAAATTAAGCCGTAGATTTATCGGTTTCCTGATTGCAATTATCAGGTAAACGAGAATATCATATTAACGGTTGAGTGATGGTATTGTTCAATTACAAACGTACCACTGAGTTAAGCTTCAGCTGTGTGGGCAAATGGGAGATGAAAACACTACTGAAGTGATGTCTCTGGTGTTCGTGGCAACACTGAGCAAGTGCTACGTGGACGTCATGGTTTCAGTGTGGTTTCAACTTCCCGTGGCCAAGGTCGGAAAACAGCAAATATGTGTCTCGTGCATACAAAAACAAACAGTTGTGAAATGATGACATTGATATCACGGACATGCTCTCTGCATGCGTTCTAGATGTATTTATACTCGTACGGCACATAACATCACAGTCTCTGGACATATTTTACAATGGTTTTCAGTAGCATAATTGTATAATGGTATATGTAGCCCAGTCGTCTAAGGTAATACCTGAGTTTTATTTCATATTAAAATTTCGTTTCCGTCAAATATGAAAAACTAGTTGAACAGAACTTGGTATCAGAAGTATTCATGGAGATATTTTAATATATCTTACTAAAACAAATTGACATGTACTTATTGAGTGATACAGGACAGGGATATAGAAAACACTGATGAAATGGAAACTGTCGAATGGAAGTGGAGGTGGGACGTAACAAATGACATGTGCAGAAAGGTCAAGGTCAAGATTCCGGATGAACTGTCAAGGTATGTTCTGATATTCTTTCCGCAAAGCCAGAAACAAAGCACCAATCTGACCACTTCCTGTACGCAGTTGGGAGCATACCCTTCATGGCGCCGTCTGTGCGCACGTGCTCTTCTGTCGGGACGCTTGAGCATATACCGCGACTCATCACTGAACACGATACTTCTCCACCTTTGGAATGACCACTAGAGACCATTGTTTATGTTGTTGCCGATTGTGTGAGAATAGGTCCCCCGCAAAGGTCTCCTAGGACGAATACAAGCCTCACAAGGGCGGCCTTGACAGTTTGGTCCTGGAACTGCAGATGTTGAAGAAGAGGCGGTCGTACGTGTTCTGTAAGTATCGAAACGAATACACCTGTCCTGGGGGTGTGTGGTCACCCGGTGTTTTCCTGACCAAGGAAGATCACGTGTCGTTCCATGCTGCTAGTGCCGATACCACAGCCTCCCTATGATATTCAAGTCAAGCATGATTTCACTTCAAGATTTACGTTCGCCGCTAAAACAATCAGACCCCATAGTTTTGATTGCAAATGATGCACGAATTTTGCATGTGCAGGGAAGCGCATGAATCGCATCCCATTCGTGGTCTTTTTACATATTTGGTTGCGATTTGGCGACAGGTTTTCAAAAGCAATAGAATTAAAACTCGAAATTCGTTCGAGGGAACGTTCACCATAGACATACTAATTGAACTCACATTTATGATTCATTTTCGAAAAATTACATGGAAACGTACTGGCTATGCGTTTTTTGTGTTGAGTAGAATATAAAGACAAGTTTGTGAAGTAAGGTTTAGCAATATCTCAATATCTATGGCGTGTCAGCTAGATGTGAGAGGAAACCCCGAAATGAAGCAGATATCGGGCGTGACTTCTGTGCTGAATCCTTCGAGGACAGACTGACAAACCTGGAAACAACCAGGGTGAACCGAGATTCGAACTCTCAGCCCTACGTTCCTGGAATACACCACTGAGCCCCATAATTTGGAAATAACATTCCGGCTATGTTGATGTATGCTTTGTCTTTACTCTGAAGAGTTAAATGGACAACCGCCATATTGCTGGAATATTGCTGAGTGCGGCGTAAAACAACAACAACATGTTTAAGAGACATGGACTTCTTTTGAAGATCATCACCATATGTTAAATGTGAACTTTCTTGCAGGTTGTAGGAGTGTATGCGAGTACTTAGAGAATAACCAACGAGGTACGAGAGATTGCGGGAATTATGCGCGAGTTGAAATACTGTTCACTAAACATTATCTTAACGAGGGCACATTTCCCGTAATCACTCGTACCGACTAGGTTATTCTATTTAAGACCCATAATGCAATTTAAAAAGAAGAACCACGAAATAAAACCACCCGGAGGCAGGACGTCAAACAGCTGATTCTTTTTCATACGCGTATTAAACCTAACTTCTCCAGCGGTAATAACAAAACTACGCTATGGAAAATAGTGCCTAGTGAAATCACTTTAAAATACAACAAAAATAGTTTGTTTGGAATAATTGATTAACTTTTGTTAATATGATAAAAATGATCTTTTAAATATATCATTGAACTTAATAACAGCTAAACCGTTATTTGACCAAGTCAGTGCGACGGAACATCGTTCATTCACCACTGATGTGTGTCTAGTGACGGGTGACGGTGTAGTGTTGAAACTTTGGCAAAAACCTGTCAATTATTGGGAAAGTCAATGGTTAAAAGTTTGGAAATCTAAAAAGATAACTATCCCACGAATAGATCTAGAAAAGGTTTTCTGACAAGAAACTCAACAGGTTTGAAGACTTAACTACATTTCGTTCTGTGGAAGGCGTGTTACAGTCACGTCGTTGGTCCCA